CGTTTAAAAAGGTGTAGGCCTACTTAAATTTTCGGCGCTCTTATTTCCAAATGGATGTGACACAGTTTTTATATATACAAGTAACTGTGGGAGAATTATAAAGATGTACAAATATATGAGACTCGGAAACATTCGTCGCCTCGATCCTTTAAAGGCAGATGAATGCATATGCCCAAAAATCAGGTCAAAATTGACTTTTCCTCAGAACTCTTTTTTTTCAATTTGGGTGAAGACCTGTGTTGGTTCGATGAAATGGCAAGTCGAATATTCGAGTACATGTAATCAATAATTCGAATTGACGCAGCATCACAAAGGAGAGGCAGCATGAACAATCATCATATTACGGGCTGGGGGACTGAATACACCTTAACATTGATTTTATCCGAATTTTAATTTGTGTTGTAAATCGATGAAGCAAAAATCAAACAACCGCGCCACTGCAGCTGTTGTCTAAATTGTTTGAAGTTAAATTATGCTCGAATTTGTGTACGAGCCCTCCACCAAAATGTAATTTGCATAAACGTGCAAAGTGATGACAATATTTCCCCCTTTTTTTTCGGGAGAGAGTTGGTACAGCCCACCTTCGACACACATTCCTCAGCGCGTTTTAGGAACCTGAAAGTGCAAGCTTTTATCTTTACAGCTTCCATATGAAGCATTCCCTCCCAGAAAGCAAGAAGAATCAAAGCAAATGGACATTAAATTCTAACACAAGCAACTCCGAGGTGGCTGCAAAAAGTGCAGCTTCTGCCTGAAATAAAAAATCACAGTGTCAGCTCATGGATAGGACGATTCTCAATAGTGTTAAAGCCAGTACAGGCTAATTCTTATTAACATAAAAACCCCGCAAGGAATAGACAAGGGCACCCTCAGAAATGACCGTTCCGCCCCACCAGTCGATCTGCACGACCGGTTGCTTGCGGGGCCTGAATCGCTTGACAATAAATACACAGACAGGGAGTGTACGTGCAGGTGACAGAGCTAAACAAGAAAGTGGATTTCAAACATTCAAGCACACAATTTTCTGTTACAAGGAATCTGGGTTGGCGACTTTATTCATTCTCGTTTAAATATTCAAAATTCCAATTAGACTTTGTTTAATCAGATTTTTTGTGTACTGACTTGAGGTTATAGTCGATTAAGGTCTAATTATTCCCAAATTAGCAACTTCGGCTGTATGTGCATTAGTTCAAATTATTTCTTTCTTTCATCACAAAATCGAATAAATCGTAACTTAAGAGATCTGAATCAAGAAGTTTTATTAAAAATCAGTTAAAAGCGATCACCACCCACCTGCAACTTTTAATTTCACATAAAACTGTCCAAGTCTACAATGAAACAAATGCACATGTGGTACGGCACGCGTGCTTGTGCATGTAGAGATGACGGAAACAAGTGTCAAGGTAAACCATGGCCTGATATTGAATTGCAAAGCAATGGGGCCAGTGAGAGAGAGAGAATGAAAACGCAATCAACCCCATCACTGTGCAAAGTAGGTGTCAAATGCAAAATGCTGGTATTTTACTAGGCTGCAATGTTTGTGAAAAACAGTTTTGTTCATAATATTTGCTGAGAGTCTAGAGCTAAACAATGAAGGGACCGTTTTTGTAGATAAACGTGTACTGCTTCTTTGTCTCACTGCATAATGACCAGCATTTCTGAGTCCAATCAAATGGAGAGGACGGATTAGTTGATTAAACCAATGCCAAATGAAGTGGGCCAGGCTTAAATTGAGCAAAACATGCATCTCTTCCAACCCAGACTGCTTGTTACATACGGACACATGAAGGTAGTGAAGTGCTCAGAGGAGTGTATTTGCCATTTAAAATGTAAAGAACTTGGGGAAAAAATTCAATCGGTTGAAAAACTGGGGGAAAATATGGCGCATTCCAGGAATGTTTACCTTTGTTATGTATATTAATGAATACAAAAAAACCCATTCACCGAATTCGCAATGTAAATCGTTGATTTAAATCAGGATGAATCGATCAACCATGCACTGGTTGCCGTTTTCAACGGAAATGGCAACCGATAGATCTTTCGGTTACTTTCTCATTTTGTTTCCTGCAGACTTGGGGGGGGGTAATCAGTCGGTGGTGACGCTACACGTTTATAGTAGCTAAAGCATAGGCCCTATAGGTGGCACAAACCCGAAAAGCCGTTATTCCAAATCGAAAGTGATACTTTGGTTCACACGGAATAACCCTCAATGTTGCCTCGTTTTTGTTTTGTTTGTTTGTTTTTTCTTCTCCTGTGATTTAGTATGCACTGTCTGTAGGCCCCTATGCACAGTTTCAGAAAATTATCTTTCCACTCACTAAATAATATTTTGGTTGCTGAACCTGCAATTCGTTATAAAAACACATTTGCAGTGAAGGACTCAGTTACAACAAATATACATGTACACTGTAAGTTGGAATTGGTATCAAAAGAGTGGCATGCGTCTCTTTAATGTTGAAAATCTTGCCGATAAACGGGCACAATAACAGCCGATTACGCTTTCTAACGCCGCCTGTTAGCAAACCATAGCGCACTGGGAAGAAAGGTTGATTGTGGTTTTTAACTAAATTCCGCACTACGCGCACATTTAGCGGGCCGGGCCGCCTCGCCATGTTTATGTTAATCGCTTCGCTGCGCGCTACGTCCCTCATTTCCATCGCAATGACACGCAGAGATTATGAAGGCAAAAGGGAAGCAAACGACTTATATCCGACTAAAGCACCGAGGTCGTTTAAGCATCGTATGGGGCATCT